GGCTAATTACTTTTAACAAATTTGTTTTTATAATATATGGTTTTGATTTATGTTCAGTTGGTACTTCTAAAGAGAGGAGGTCGCATGATTTACACTGGACCACTTGGACTACATTCTTCCCATGTCATTGAGTATTTTCAGGTTAGTTTTTATGCACAACTGAAACTATAAATCAAACTTAGTTTCTGTAATTTTTATAAACAAATTGTTATATTTTGTTTTGGTTGGGGTTTGAACAACAGAATATTCCTGGAGTTGCTAAGATTAGAGACAATTACAATCCAGCAACATGGATGTTAGAGATTACTTCACAGTCTGTAGAGATTGAACTCGATATGGATTTCGCAAAAATCTACAACGAATCGAATCTTTACAAGTGAGTTTTAGATCTAAAACCAGCTAAAATCTTGTCATAAACCTGACTCATTTATGGTTTAATGAGCTCATGTGTTGTTGTTTTCGGTAGGAGTAACTCCGAGCTTGTTAAAGAGCTGAGTAAACCGGAACTCGGGTCGAGCGATTTGCGTTTCGAGAGAACTTTTGCACAGAACTGGTGGGGACAGTTCAAATCTTGTTTATGGAAGATGAGTTTGGCTTACTGGAGAAGTCCTACTTACAACTTGATGCGAATCTTTCACACTTTAATCTCTTCTTTGCTCTTTGGTGTACTCTTCTGGAAACAAGGCCAAAAGATGTAAGTTGCATAAAAAATCCATCCAAATCAATTCGAGTTTCGTTACTTTCTTTTGTATTCATTTCTCTTTCGTATGTTTTGGCAGAGATACTCAACAGAATTTGTTCACGGTTCTTGGGGCGCTTTACGGTCTTGTTCTCTTCTTGGGGATAAACAACTGCACTTCAGCTTTGCAGTATATTGAGACAGAGCGTAATGTTATGTACCGCGAAAGATTTGCAGGAATGTACTCTGCGTTTGCCTATGCGTTAGCTCAAGTTGTGACAGAGATTCCTTACACATTCATCCAAAGTGTAGAGTTTGTGATCATAATATATCCGATGATGGGTTTCTACGTGTCTGCCTCTAAAGTCCTTTGGAGTCTCTACGCAATGTTCTGCACCTTACTCTACTACATCTACCTCTCAATGTTCCTCATCTCCGTCACGCCAAACTACATGGTGGCAGCTATTCTCCAGTCGCTTTTCTTCCTTACTTTCAACCTTTTCGCCGGATTCTTGATCCCAGTAACCGTAAGATCTATTGAACAAGTCTTCATCATCTTTATTCGTTTACCTTACTAAATTACTTACATAGTGTTTTCGTCATGTTGAATAATGCAGCAAATTCCAATGTGGTGGGTCTGGTTTTACTATCTAACCCCGACCTCTTGGTCGCTCAACCTGTTCTTCTCGTCTCAATACGGCGATATTCACGAAAAGATCAATGCATTTGGAGAATCCACGACGGTTGCGAGATTCTTAGAGGACTATTTCGGATTCCATCATGATCGTTTGATGATTACAGCCATTGTTATCATTGCCTTTCCAATTGCATTCGCTAGTATGTTTGCTTTCTTTGTTGCCAAACTCAACTTTCAAAAGCGGTAAATCGATCACACACGAACCCGAGCTTTTCCTTATACACATTCAAAAACTTGTATAAACCAAGACCACAAGCTACTATCATATAGCAACAATAAACTACAATATACCAACAAGAAGAAAAGACATCAAATGTTTTCAATGTGAATTACTCTTTTGTGCAAAGTATTAACTATTCTAATTAAAATTGAGCAAACATTTGCATAGCTCAATCACATCTCTTATTAAACTAACTGCTACACAGAATGGAAGTTAAATATGAACAGAGAATTCATAGGAAGCAGGTGCATTACTAGAGGTTTTGAAAATTGCCTAAATGTTTTGAAGTAATGACTCTTCGCCGGTTAGCGTCTTGTCTCCAGATTTAAAAGATCTTCGGATTTGCTTTCTTTTGATACATTGCTTCCCTGCGTCGCAACGCTTTCTTTTGATGGAGATTTGGCTTCAGATGTTGCGTTACTAGTGTTATTATCATCATTTGATTCTTCAGGTTGTTTTGCCTGTTATTTAAAACATTACATTAGTAGTAAGTAACCTGAGTTCATAACATTAGAGAACAGATATATCAAGAGGGCGTAAAGTACTTCACCTTGTTCCTCTCGCGCCAGCCAAGCCCAAATGATAGGAAGCCTGTCTTCTTCTTAAGGGTTTCTTGTGGAGAAACTTGAGTACGAGCAAACCTATACAACTCGAAGAGAAAATAAGAAAACAATAACTTGAGTACGAGCAAACCCGTACAAGGTCGAAGAGAAAATAAGAAAACAATGACTTGAGCATTAGTACCTGGATACTCATTATGGTACACAACATACCAAGCATGTAATAGTGAAAAAGACAAGAGGTAAGTTATGATGTACCTTGGAGATGATAGTGCTTTATTTTGACCTGATTCATATTGCAAAGTAGCTTCAAGAGTTGTTTCTGCAGTAACTACTCTCTTCTCCATTAGCGCGAGCTGAGTCGTAAGCTTCTCATTCTTTTCCTGCATAATTGTTTACATGAAGACATTGTGCATATTAGTTTATTTTCTTTTGGAGTAAGAGAAAAAATCTTAGAAGATACAAAGAAGATGATCAAAGCACCTGAAGCACATGTACTGCATATCGTTGTGCAGCTGCGTCCTGCTCTGCACTTACCCGAGCATCTTCTGTAAGCTTTTGGTCTTGCTCAACTCTCATCAGGACCTGCAGCAACGTAAGAAGGTAAATCAAATAGTTGCACCAAATTATAACGCATAATAATGCTCAAGTAAACAAATGTATGAAACAAACCTGAAGCATTGCTGCTTCTTGTTCTTTTTTGTCAGAAAGGACTTGCTTTAGTTCTCTTACTTCATTTTCGAGTAGTTCAACCTGTAACATTTAAGGTTTAATTTTAGATTATTAATCAACAATATGCATTCTTGGTCAGCATTCATAGCATTCCACACTTTTTTAGTGACCAAGTAACAAAGACAATGAAATTGTTTCCCAAAACAATGGAAGAAGTCTTAATTTACCCGTGCGCTTAGTTCCAGTCTGTTGTCTTCTTTGACCATCTCCATCAAGGCTATCTCCAGCTCTTCAGCTCTGGTAAGAGGAATAATACATATTAAGTAGCTCAGCAAACTCATTGCAAAAAATGAAATTGTTTCCCAAAACAACTACTTGGCCAATATAACATCACGATTCCACGATCACTTGTTCGGGCTTAATTTAAATCACTCGGTATCAAGAAAATTCTGTTTTAAACTCCTTGAAGAATGAGCAAGGGAAGGTGGAAGCAGAGTAACAATAAACCTCAACACAGCTGATCTTTTCTCCTCCAACAGTCTGCATAGTTCAACCTTCAACCATACAACCTGCACAATAACTGTTATGGATGAAATTTAAAAGGAGTTGCATATATATACATTGCTCAATTCTTAATCAACTACAGAAGAATTTCGTTGATGAAACTCAACCACATTATCTTGAATTCAATACCAAGAACAAATGAGTATGGTGGAACAAAGAAGTCACCTGCTCTTGAAGATCTGGTAAAGAGTCTAATTCGGAATCAACATTTGAGCCATCCGGATTCAGGGAACGAGATTCATCGTCATCTGGATTCTCACCATTGGTCCTATGAGTAGACTGTTGTTCATCTAGGATAGAGCCTTCATGTTTAAAGCTATATAATTTAGAAGCCAATCCCTTTTTGTCCTTCCAGACTCGACCCTTATGTATTCTTTCCTCGACAATCTCTAGTACCGCTGGTCTATGTACTACTCTCAGCTCCTCCAGTCTAGCCTCATTTGTCGATAAATAACCCATGCATGCGGTCAGAACAAGTTGACTGCTATCAAATGTTGAACTAGCAAGGGTTTGTAGCGAAGTAATCGCATCTCCTGCGTCTTGCGTAGCAACAATTGCAGGACCTAAGAAAATAAAAGAGTGACTGAACTTTGTTTCTTCCAAACGAAGAGCTAATTGAAGAATCACCATACACTTAAATATCACATTTGATACATATGAAAGTATATCAGCAATATACCATATAGTTCCATTAAAGCAAAAGCTGTTCGGAACAACACGACACGATTCCCTTCAAAGAGAAGCACATCCCACATCCGCAAAACTGAGCCAAAAACACATCAAGATGAAATACAACTTCAGCTAAAAAGAGGTAAAAACGGAAGCCTTCCTGTGCCGGACGTGTAATGCGTTCCCCTAATATAACATAAAATGCAGAAAAGTTTGTTAAGAACTCACCGCATTCCCACGGAAGTATATTCACAAAAATAGAAAGAAACCATGGCCCGGATATCCATGCTACCTGCACTCCCAAGTAATCCAGATGATTAACTGCACCAGGAGAAATTATTGGAATAGAAGAAACGATCACATTGCTCTGTATAAGGTGGAAAATCAAATTAAATGGAGAGAAACTTGAATATCAGATGAAAAACTAACCGAGCTTCGGAAATCTTTCCCGCATCAAATCTTCAAAGACTAGTTGATCAACCTAGGAGAAAAGTAAATTTGGAATAGTGTGATTAAAGATACATCTTCCACAGAGGTTGTCAAAAGAAAATAATCAAAGGGCCTTTCCATGAACCAACACCTGAGATTCTATCATCTCTTCTGTATAGTAGCCATCAAAATAATCATCAATGACTCCAACCAAAGTCCTGAGATAATTCAGCAACACAAAACTCAGCTCATTGTGACAGGCAAAATCGAACACCGAGAAGCAAAGCTTTAATCACCCTACCAAAATGCATTTTCTTCTGGCATCAATAGAAGCAAAAGGCCGGCAAAGAAGTTCATAGCCTGCAGTTTTCCAAGGTCATTCTTGGTTACAACTTTAACATATTTTTCAAATTATGTACTCAACTGATCTAGTCAAATCACCTGGCAGTACCCAACAGATGGGTTGTGACAAGCATAAGCTAGAAGTATCCGCCTTAATGAATCTCGACCATTCTCATTCAGAGCAGGGTGACCTGGGAATGTCCTCGGTATATCCTGCAGAATCAAAAACAACAATAAGAATGAAAAGTGATCACGGTCGCAATAAAAGAAAACACATGTAGCAACATAGATGCATCTAATCAAAACCTTTTCAATTTGTTTTTTCCACTTTCTTTGGACATCAGAAGAGTTTGGATGTTCCTTGCTTTCGTCAGAGTTAGTTATTTGTGCCAACAGATCCTGATAGTACCTCTCAACTCGTCTTGCCTTTACACCTACAAAGGCTTGCCAGACCTGTGCAGCAAAAGTTAGGCAAGAGAAAGTAAATTTATTCCAGTGAGATAGTTAGTATAAAATTACCTCTCCTCTGAGATCTTTTGGAACTCCCAAACGTACAAGTACCTCAAGTTCTTCATACCAAGGGAAAAATGGCTCTGGAGAAACACTATTATGAGCATCATTTTCTTCTTTTATTGAATCACATCTACCCGTGGAAGTCTCACTGTCACGGTCATTTTCCGCAGAGTCTTGTTCAGATTCTCCAATGGAAGGCAGCGATTTGTTTATCGATGAAGCATGGTCCCCTACTAAAGTGCTCTGCTTATTATTCATATACTTTCCTTTCTTAACACGAGAGGACATCATAGCCTCTATAGACGAAAGACAAGGTCTAATATGAGCCCACTCTATAACTGAACGGTTCTTCGTTTCCTTTTTTCCTTTTTCATGTTCCAATCCACATTTATCCGCTTCTGCCTCGGCCTTTTCTGTTGCATTTTCTTCTTGAATGTGTAGATGATCTACATGTTTCTTTACTGATTGAGATTGTTTCTCTTCGTCAGATTCACTTTCGACTGTAAATTCCTCCTTCACAGGTTCAGGTAGCTCCCCATCCTTCACAGGTTCAGGTTGCTCCTCATCTTTCACAGTTTCCGTGTATTTTCCAAGACTCTTCTCCCTCACATATTGGTGTTCTTCATGAACCTGAGCCTCCTCGGTCGAGGCTGGTCCTCTCTCTTGTTCAAGATCCTGGTCCTCTTTACCACCAAGTTCAGATTCTGGTAAGTCATTTTTTCCGTTTCTTGAACCCTTCTCTGAATCACTCTCCTCTCCAGATTCCGAACCATCAGCCTGCAATGTATCCTGAAAATCCTCTTCCGAGGAAGCAGGCTCAACGGGATCGTCTAGCCGGTCAAGAAAGTTTTTCCATTTCTCTGCCCTCTCAGTCTCTTCCTCCTATTTCCAGTAGCAGAGAAGATTTATAGACTTTATCAGTGTAAGAAATCAACAACCATTCTCCAGTTTCCTAGACCTTTCAATAACCCTCAATATACCATAAACTGCTTCCGAAAGAGCATCTTATTGCATTTCTTAGGCAAGTTAAGCTTATGATGCTCTCTCTTGCAGCTCTATTACCTCTCATTGTATTTGCACATCAAACCAATTATGCAACAAGAATGATACAATAGATATATGCCAATTTTTTCGTCTACTAAATATCTGAAGATTGCAAATGAAGGACTCACTGTATAGATGGTATGGTATTCTTGATATCTTTGAACGTGTTGAGGTCTCAAGGCAAATCCATAGGCGTCCCTGAAATCAAATTCTTAGTGATGAACACAAATTCAAATTAAATGTAACCAAAAATTGAATTGAGAAAATCTATTGAAATTACCTGGAATCTACCTCCAGTGAGCGTTTGCTCACCAAAGATAACAACATATTTCACAAACAACACTAGTTCTAATAATTCCCATTGCTTTTACTTTTACATTACACACACACACAATTCACAAACAATATATATTGGATTAATCTATACACAGATTAAGATGATTTTAACAATTACCCATCGAAATTAACAAGAAAAACCATTTTTCGAATAAGATCAAAAGAAGAAGAAAAGAAAATCGAGGATCATCGGTTTTCGTGAACCCCCAAAGATTGAGAAATCGTCAACGTAAGAGAAATTACCGATTAATCAGGATATATAATTAAATATGGATTGG